ACATTACCAATAGCCAATACGTAGGTAAGTGAATGGTTAACATTCTTTAAATAATAACTAATCAATCTTTAATCACATAAATTAGTTGAATAATTGATAATTATTAACGAACTACTACTTAATGACTTTATTTCTGCGAGTACATAAATCTCTCTTACTCGCCCACAAGACAACAATGGCATAATTCCGTAATTAAACCATAAAACCAAGGTCAATTACAAAATCTCTCTCAAGTCTGACACTACTACATCACCTTCTCTTTTTTCTCTCTTTGGCGAGAATGGCCTCGTAACCAGTGATTAGGACACATGCATGCCATTTCCCATCAACGGTCAAGATCCATCTCCTCTTCTTCTCCTTCAAACCATTCCCCACCGTTAGATCATCTCCAAACCTAACCACGGTTCATTCTTTAACCACGGTTTGTTTCGGTCAGCCAGGTAGGGGCCTCTCTGATGTCCTTCAAGACTTTTTATTTTTCTCCATTACCAAAGTCACCAAGAAGCCAGAAGAAAGAGAATAGAGAGAGAGAGAGAGTTTTGTTCTTCTTCTTTCTGGTTCCTTTGCTTTGCTTTGGTTGCGTGATCTCCTCTCTCATCAATCTTCTTCATCATCATTCTCATCATCATTAGCTTCTTGATTTTTTTTTCCTTCTTTTTTTCGTTTCAAGAAACTAAACAAAGTTTCTATTTATGGTTTTCTGATTCTTCTTCTACAGATCTATTATTTGATTCTCCTTCGATCATTGTCAACGTTTTCTTCTTTTGTAATCATCACAGTTTTTTTTGAGAATTTGTTCATTTTTTTTTCTCATATATTGATTCGAGTTCTTTCTTCTTGAATCTTGTTCTTCATAGATCTAGTTTTTGTTTTTTACTCTCTAGATCTATAGATCTGTTGAATTCACTTCTTTAATCCATCTCTGTGTTCTTGAGTTCCTATGGTCTAAGTCAAACTCAAGTTCAAGATCTGTTGAATTTGGAATCTTGCTGGTGAAGTTAGAGATGAATTATTTCCCAGATGAAGTAATAGAGCATGTATTCGACTTTGTAACATCTCACAAAGACAGGAATGCTATATCTCTTGTATGCAAATCATGGTACAAGATTGAAAGATACAGTAGGCAAAAGGTTTTCATTGGAAACTGTTATGCCATTAATCCAGAGAGGTTGCTTCGGAGATTCCCATGTCTAAAGTCTTTGACTTTGAAAGGAAAACCTCATTTTGCGGATTTCAATTTGGTTCCTCATGAATGGGGAGGTTTTGTGCTACCTTGGATTGAGGCTTTGGCTAGAAGCCGTGTAGGACTTGAAGAGCTTAGGTTGAAGAGGATGGTTGTTACTGATGAGAGTCTTGAGCTGCTTTCTCGTTCTTTTGTCAATTTTAAGTCTTTGGTCCTTGTTAGCTGTGAAGGTTTTACCACTGATGGTCTTGCCTCTATTGCCGCTAATTGCAGGTATCACTTTTTTCTTGTGTGTTATAAAAATTGTTCCTTGTGTTGTAAGATTAGGTTTTATATGTGACTATAGATGCTATGTTTCATTGTGGTTTACATATCATTGCACACTTGCTTCCTAATATGGCTAAAAAGACGCAAATCTAGCTTTTGGTCGAACAATAATATCCGATTTACTTAGAAAATAGGTGGAATAAACAGTTTAGTTATTGCAATGGTTCCTTTTGGTTGTGTGTTACAAATGTAGTAGTGTTTGCTGAGTGTTATTATTGTGTTAGGTCTGTAACTCTGTTTTACAATTCTTTCTTCTTTGTAGGCATCTTCGGGATCTTGATTTGCAAGAGAATGAAATCGATGATCATAGAGGTCAATGGTTAAGTTGTTTCCCAGACACTTGCACGACTCTTGTCACGCTAAACTTTGCGTGCCTCGAAGGAGAAACTAATCTGGTTGCTCTAGAGAGGCTTGTTGCTAGGTCTCCAAACCTAAAGAGTCTGAAGCTAAATCGTGCAGTACCGTTAGATGCACTCGCAAGGTTAATGGCGTGTGCGCCGCAGATAGTTGACTTAGGAGTAGGGTCTTATGAGAATGACCCAGATTCCGAGTCTTACTTGAAACTCATGGCTGTCATAAAGAAATGCACCTCGTTGAGGAGTTTGTCGGGTTTTCTAGAGGCTGCTCCTCACTGTCTCTCAGCTTTCCACCCAATATGTCATAACCTCACCTCCTTGAATCTTAGTTACGCAGCTGAGATTCATGGTAGCCACCTTATTAAGCTTATTCAGCATTGCAAGAAACTTCAGCGGTTATGGGTAAGCGAATGTTTCCTAAAGTGTATATATGAACCGAGCAGATAGATTTATACGTAATGGCTTCAATGTTTTCTTGTAGATTTTGGATAGTATAGGTGACAAAGGGCTTGAAGTTGTAGCTTCTACATGTAAAGAGTTACAAGAGCTTAGGGTTTTTCCATCTGATTTACTCGGTGGAGGCAACACAGCTGTGACCGAAGAAGGTCTAGTTGCCATCTCGGCAGGCTGCCCTAAGCTCCACTCTATACTCTACTTCTGCCAACAAATGACAAACGCAGCTCTCGTAACCGTTGCCAAGAACTGTCCAAATTTCATCCGTTTCCGACTCTGCATCCTCGAGCCAAACAAACCCGATCACGTCACATCTCAACCTCTAGACGAAGGCTTTGGAGCAATCGTCAAAGCCTGCAAGAGCCTGAGAAGGCTTTCTCTCTCAGGTCTCCTTACAGACCAAGTCTTCCTCTACATCGGAATGTACGCGAATCAGCTCGAGATGCTCTCCATAGCCTTTGCAGGAGATACAGACAAAGGCATGCTATATGTGTTGAATGGTTGCAAAAAGATGAAGAAACTAGAGATAAGGGATAGTCCGTTTGGGGACACGGCGCTTCTTGCTGATGTGAGCAAGTATGAAACAATGCGATCCCTTTGGATGTCTTCATGTGAAGTCACACTCAGTGGATGCAAAAGGCTCGCAGAGAAAGCGCCATGGCTCAATGTAGAGATCATAAACGAGAATGATAATAACCGGATGGAAGAAAACGGACACGAGGGGAGGCAGAAAGTGGATAAGTTGTATCTGTACCGGACTGTGGTTGGGACAAGAATGGATGCGCCGCCATTTGTGTGGATTCTCTAAGTCCTTTTCAGACCAAACTGGTTCTGATTGGTCGTCTTCCGTTAGTGTGTCTTTCCCGAATTAGGTGTACTTTTTGTTTTCTTTAAATTAAGACAAGAACTGATTCTTCTGTGAAAGCCATTCTGTTTTTGTTTTTGACTTTCCTCCGTTGATTTATTGGTTTCTTTTTTCAAGTTATTACAAAGTGCTACGGTTTGTCTTATTTTTCTAAGCTTTTTAGATTTACCTTGCTAGGAAACAAGAATGTACACAATAAAGAAAAAAACATGTACATAATGTAATATGTTAATAGAATCAAGTAATCATAGATTTGAGACTTACAAGTATCTTAATTCCCTAATCCAATGTTTTAATAGTTTTCGTTGTATTTTTAAATATCATTTTGAATTTTTGATGTTACCAATTTTAATGGTAACGTCACAATAATGAAATCACCGAGACTGGTGAGGTCAAAATCTAGCCAACAATGAACAATCATCAAAGCATAAGATAATATGTTCTATTCTATGATGCTAAAACTGTTTCCGTAGGATGTTATTTTAAGTTTTTAACTGTTACATATTTGATTATTGAGTATCTTTTTAATGAAAATTTTACCAAATGTTGGTCGTAAATAAGATACAAATCTGACACTCCTTTGTCTGAAGGTTTTTGTAGGAAGAAGCCTATTATGGCCCCAATTCAGAAGGCCCGTAAGAAAAACAGGCAATTTACACGGTCATTTTCAGCTGTTGGATTTGTTTTCATACAGATTAACTTGGAGAACACAAGAGATAATATTTACATTATGTACAACATTACTATTTAAGGTCTCATGTTATAATACTGATCAGTAATCCGGTGAAGGTGCATCAAGAATTTCATCGCTGCAACAAAAATTTGAGTTTTTGAATCACACGTTATTTTTTGAAGTACATTTTGTAGTTGGATCGGATCAAAACATATTTGAAATTGTAAACCGGATATTCAAATCTACCTACCAATCTTTGCATCCAAAATCACAATCATCAGATCTTAAGATAACATCAATAATGATCTATGATGCCAAAACTGTTAGTGTAGGGTCATGCATCATAACATTTGATGGATGTTAAATTAACTGTCACATACGGATATCTTTTGATGTAACTTTTAACAAAACATTTGGTGTAAAGAAACTATGTTATATAAATCAAACAAATGCGACACGACTTGACCACTACGCACAAAACCAAAAGACTTCAAAGTTTTGTTAGAAACATAGGAAGATGTATGTCAATAATCAGAAAAAGTCTTTCACGTCAAGTGTTGCCACTAACAATGTCAAAGAAATTTGAATTTCAGTTATCATTAGCTAAATTTACGTCTATATGTCTGATATAGAACATATTTGTCTTAAACAGCTTCCATGAACGTAAAATGTATTACATATATATAGACAATATGCAAAAAGCTCAAAGTCATCAACATTGTCTCTTTCCATGATCATTCATGTCGTGCCTCTTTAATTTTGTATGAAGGTGAATGTCTGAGATGAAACAGAAGAACATATAAGGATAGCCAAGGAGACTGCCTGATATCTTTTTTATAAGCAAAATGGTCATTGCTTGATACAACTTATAGTGACTTCAAACAAGACACTAAACATTTTACACAAAGAGTCAGGCAAGTCATCCTTGGCTACCAAATATGATTCTTCTATTCATCTTTGACATCTCCTTCTAAATAATGTGTACACTCACAAACACACTATTAAAAAAAAATGCTTTATAAATCGAATGCAAAAAAATTGACATTTTCAACCCAGGAGACACCTTAACAAAGATTGAATTTTTTTTTCTGAAGAGAATTTATAGTGACTATGGAGACAGAAAGAAAAACAGGTATAACGTGAATGAAAAAAGCATGTCAAGATAGCCAAGGAGACTGCCTGAAACCTAACCCGCAAGATTCAACATGATTTCAAATTATTATACTTTTGAATGTATAATAATCCAAAACCCATGAATTACAAATTGAATCATGGAGGTGAAAAAGATCAGGCAAGTCATCCTTGGCTACTAAACATGACTCTTTTCGCCATGTTAGACCTCTCTTCCTCATTATACTCTTTATTACTCTCAATATGTGTTGCCTCATTCCTCACATGGATGTGCTCTCTTTTTATAACCCTTGAGAAGGAATATATGCATATAGATTTCTAAATTTATCTATTTTCTTTTTGCATGGGCTAAATATAGTCAACTTTTCTTTATGACGGGAATATGTTCCTTTAAATGGACCATTTTAGGGGTCCACTAAGACAATCTTCTTTTCGGTTCATTCACAAAATATAATATCGCAGTACATTGATGGAATGGTGGGTTTAAGAGTTTCCACAATGTAGACGAAATTTTACATTGTCGAATCATATAGATTTTGTTTTTATAAAATAAATCAATGTACATTTTATGTGAGTTCAATTAAATCGATGAACCAAATGCAGATTTAGATGTGGCTATATCAATCAGTATGAAACAATTATCTTTTGAATAGAATAGTTTAATGTTTAAGTTGAATAGAATAGCTAAAGATTTATAGAATCGCAGATATTTTAAACCTGAATATTATTAAAGGGATAGTTAATTAAAATCGAAATATACATATTGGCTAAAGATAAAAATCTTTTCAACAAATATATATGCGTGGATTAACTCATTGTGGTTGATAAAAAAATGTTTTCATTTTATTTTATATTGCTTTTTATTCTCACAATTAAGTTGAAATACAATAATGTTAAATCGAGTATATATATTTGTTCCCTTTATCTTAGTGCAATGCGTAAAACAATGTTCCTCTGAATTGATGCTTCTGCCTTATGGTATGGGCAAGTTGTTCTTCACTTTTTCTCTAATTAAAAAATTAAAAATCGTTTTCCTTAAAATTCTAAAATAGGAAATGTTTTATGATGGGTTGCATTTTTGTATTACCTCTTTTGGATATTGATAGAATGACAGGGTTGACCATTAAATTAAAGAAAGAATACCGTATTTGGGACATTGCCGAATCAATCCAGGCCTATTCATTTTCAAAAGTAGTCGATTCTCTTGTCTATCATCCATATCTTGTTCACCACCGATTGTTGAGATTTGATTCGGTTCGAATGTCATCATCATAACATCATGTCACTTTACTAAGTTTTCACAAATATTATTCACTACCACGTCTCGGAAAAATTGTAACAAGCGTAATCTGTAGAAAAATGTTCAAATACTTGTTTTCCAATGACATATATATTTATCTCTCATAAAAAAAAAAAGAATCATAACATGTATATTAGAGCATCAGAAGACTTGTAGTTTCTGTTCTCTAGTTTCGTTTTGGCCTTTTGGGTCCTACTTTTGTTCTTCTCGTGTACTGTTGCTGGTTTGACTTCGGTTATGTGCACACCTGATTTTATTCGGCTATATCCAGCGTTCATAGATTCGTTAGAATTTTTGGTGGGAACCTTCTGGCTCAGTATTTCAGTTTTAGTGCTTAGCTCTCTTATTCGTCCCATGAGCTGTTTTCTGTAGGTTCTTGGCCCTTCTTTTGTCTCCGTTTCTTTGGTGCTTTGTTTCTAGAGGAGGGTGTCATGCTGGCTATGTATGTATTACAAAAGTCTTTTTTTTTTCACTACAACAATAGTTAGTATTCTTAGTATTAGAAGATAGCAACGGGTGTGGTTCTACTGTATTAGACTTAAGCTTGCATTTTGGATAGCGTTTATGAATATGTAAACGCTATAATTTGTTTGGTTCAAAAATTACGATAGCACAATTTTCATAACTGCTTTTAAAGGTGTTAATCAAATTTTCGTAACTATATTATAACTTTTCAAAAACGATAAGCTTTATAATCATATAGATAAAACTAAAATCACTTTGAACCACCAATATTTAACGAAATTCTTTCCCATACGGCCAACACTTAGCCAAAAAAATAAGGAAAAGCTCAAATTAAAAATCAAACCCTAATTTCTATATCTCTTATGCATCCTCTTTCTCAGGTTTACCTCTTCACTCTCTTTCTCGATTCATCCTTTTTACAAAGATTACTTTCTTCTCCTTAACTCTCTTTTATCCCTTCAGTCTCTTCCTGCGATTATACACCCTGGATCTAATATTGGATTTTATCAATTTCTATCACTCTTTGTCACTCTCGCTCTCATTTCCAAATTCTTCTTCTTCTTAAATTCTACAGATTCTTTTTTTTTTTTTTTCGCTGGCCTGAAACCCCAAACCATTGTCGATGCTCGGTTCGCCGTTCAATGACGTCAACCTTCTCTCTCTTTATCTTTCTCTTTTGCCTCCTCCAGTAAAATTTTGTTAGGGTTTTATGAGCACTTGGGTTAAATTTTGTTAGGGTTGAGTTGATCGATTTGAATTAGAGTGATTTCTTAGAAACTTTTGGCCAAAGTTATGATGATGTTTTTCATGACTTCCCCTATGGAAAATTACCTTCCATAGTGTGATCACGAAATACCACGTAGAACTACATATTCCAATTTACATTCCACGCGGATCTTAGGTTTCATTTGATCCTGGCACAACGTAAACGTAAGAAAGGTCCGGGGTTCGTTGATCCAATGATCACAACGGTCAAGTGATGAGTTTGATACAAAATTTATTGTGGTAATATATATCCCTTTTTTCTTACATTCGAATGCTCTTGTTTTTCATACATTAAAATAATCAAAGCTAATAAACTCTACTACTCACAACCACTTAGATATTCAGAGGAAGAATCTAAAACCCTAACTTTAGGAAGAAGATTAGATGAAACATATATAAAACACTTCAAAATCCAATTCAAATAGACCTATAAAGAACAATACCCTGTAATGAAACGTGACTATATATCAAGGTGCGCTGCATCCGAACCATACCCTAAGAGGAAGTTTCCATGAAGCTTCATGGCAAGACTCATTCGAGTCGATCCAATCATATAAATATTGATGTATACGCAAAATGTAATATATGCTATATATTCATCCAAAAAGCCTCCAAAAATCGTCAACATTCGCTCACCATTATATTTGTTGTCATGTCTATCTTATTTTGGATGAAGGTAAATATCTGAGTTGAGAAAGAAGAACATATAAGGATAGCCAAGGAGACTGCCTGATGTCTATTTATAAACAAAATGGTCATTTCTTGGTATAACTTATAGTCACTTCAAAACATGACATCGACCATTTTGTTCAGAGAAGCAGGCAAGTCATCCTTGGCTACCAAATATTGTTCTCCTATTCATCTTTGACATCTCCTTCTAAATAATGTGTAGACTCAGCCACATAAACTATGAAAATGCTTTAGAAACCAAAGGCAGAATTTTGGCATTTTCAAAACATAACACCCTAACAATGATTGAAACTTTTTTAAAGTGAATTTCTAGTGATTCGGAAGACAGAAAAATAAGTATAACATGGATGAAGAAAGCATGTCAAGATAGCCAAAGAGACTGCCTGAAACCTAACCCGCAAGATTCAACATGATCTCAAATTATTATACCTTTTAAACGCATAATAATCCAAAATCCACGAACTTAAAATTGAATCATGGAGGTGAAAAAGATCAGGCAAGTCATCCTTGGCTATTAAACATGACTCTTTTCGCCATATTAGACCTCTCTTCTTCATTATATTTAACTCTCTTTATGTCTCATGCCTTACATTCATGTGCTCTCGTTTTATTTATAACCCTTGAGAGAAGGAATATATGCATATTGATTTCAATATTTATCTCTTTCTTTTTGCATGGGATAAATATAGTCAACTTTGAATTCTTTAACACGGGAATATGTTCCTTTAAATGGACCATGATTCGGGTCACTAAGATAATATTCTTGTCGGTTAATTCACAAAACTATACATCGCATTTGATTTGTGGGTGTAAGCGTTTCCACAATGTAACAACTCTACATAAAATAAAACAATGTACATATTATGTGACTTTAATTAAATCGGTGAATCAAATGCAGATTTAGATGTGGCTATTTGAATCAGTATGAAACACATGTTTCAGTTTGTAAATTCGAACATATCTTTAAATATAATGTTAAGTTTGGATTTAATAGTTTATGATTTATAGAACAGCATATATATGATTAATAGAAAGTTTAAAACCTAATAAAATATTGGCTAACGATAAAAAGGTTTTTCAACATGTACATGGGTTAACACATTGTGGTTAAAATGTTTCAATTTATTTCATATTGTTTTTATTCTCACAACTTTGCATGCATACGGTCCCTTTTATCTAAGTTCAAATTCTAATAATAGTAATCGAGTATATATACGGTCCCTACTCCCTTCTATCTAAGTGGAATGTCTAAAAAAAGTATATGTTCCTTCGAATTGATGCTTCTGCCTTATGGTATGGGCAATTTACTTTTTCTCTAATTTCAAATTTAAAGTAGTTTTCCTTCAAAGTCCAAAATCGGAAATTTTGATGATATGTTGCATTTCTCTATCACCTCTTTCGGATATAAAAAGTTTTGACCATCAAATGATAGAATCAGAAGACCGTAATTTGGATATTGCACATATTCTAGAGTAGTCGATTCTCTATTTTTCATATCATTTCACTAGGACCCTTGAGAATGTGATTTGATTTGGTTTGGATATCATTATGTCCTTTTCTTAAGTTTTCATTAATATTATTCACTGGCACCGGTCCGGAATTTTTTTTATAACAATTTTAGTCTGTAGAACAATTTTCAGTTTTTTTGTTTTGTCCAATAACATGTATATTAGAGCAATAGAAGAAAAAAAAATCGATGAATTTTCGAGTTAGTAAAAATGACGTCTTCCCACTGGCTATTAGTTTGCCTTCTCAAAGCAAATACATGAATTCATGAAGATCAAGAATAAATTATTTTTATTTGTTCTCTTACATTTGATGCGTTTGAAGTTCAAGGTTGATTGTTTAGTTTGTAACGTTAGACTTCATGCTCAAGATTTTACTTTTGTAAGATCTATGTCACCGATTTAGATTTCAGAACTTTTTAAAAATTTAACTAAGATTATTGATCAAACAAAACTGGTATTATATAATAGT